GAAGATCTCTGAAATATAAGGAGTCACGTCCTTGTCAATCTGCATCTTTTTTAATGTGTAGGCAAAATTAATATGCTCGATCATCTATCAGATGAAATCACAAAAAAGAAAGATCTTTGAAATATCATAACGAGTAGGCTATAAAACTCTATTTGCACACTTATACCTGTTAATTGCGCATTCACACAAAATTTGCCATTAGTGGAGAGTGTAAACTTGGCCGAGTCGCCATATACCCAGCGCGCAGTAGTGCAGTGTGAAAACAGTCCGGACCGGATACTACTAAAATACACCATGGTCTGGCCCAGCGGGAGCTGAAATTTTCAAGGAATGTTCCCCGCCTACATATAACTTAAAAATTCCAAACCCAGTCCCTAGGTATTCTCCCAAGTCATGTGCGGCCCTGTGAAAATTGGAAACGTGGCGGGGAAATTGCTAATTCGGGAACTAGAAAAGCTAGGAAGCGCAAATATGCACTGGAATCTTATTGATCCGGATTCGGGGTGGAAAATTTTTATGGTAAGAAAATTAAAATGTGGGAGGAAGAAGAGAGGGGAAGATAATTAAGAGAACAGGACTATGGAGCTAAACGTGTGGCATAAAACCATATGTCACGTAAAAACTTGTACAGTTATGAAAGCTAAAACCTCATTTTTCTATATGTTTAGCTAGTACTATACAACGAAAAACCGACGGTTAAGAAAAAACGTCTGCTTCAGATAACCACACAAGTGCCGGGACAGCATGGTGAAAAAGTTTATGAAAACAAGAATCACGACCAAACATTCCAGGACTCCTATGAAGTTCAACGGCAAATGGTACTCACTCATAATGTTGTATAAGAATATTCCGTGTAGTTGATATTTTTGAATGTAATACACTTGTTACTACTAATTTTTGTTCAGTGTGTTCATATGCAGTGTTTGGCCTGTGCGCCCAGCCGTTATATTCCTTCTGTTTGCTGCCAAAATCACAACTATTAGAAAATTTATTATAATTTTTTTCCGCAACTTGGAAAGAGATCCAAGGAGGGACATGGCGCCGATCTCATGCTAAAGATTCAGGATCACGGGGCGAGATAGCCAAATTCCCTACGTTTCATTCATTTTCTTTGATAGCTAATTGTTAATGGCACATGGTTAGATGTCGTCTGTTGTTTGCCCGAAAGAAGCTTGTAGATGGCTGCTGCGGGCATCTGCCTGTTTCAGAATGTTGCCACTTTTTTGAGAAAGTGGATTATTTGGTATTTTGAAGTTTTTTTTTTTTCCAGAAGGTCTTAGCAAATAAAAATTTCGAATTATTTTCAGAACATGAAAAATTGTAAGATCCACAATTTTTTTACAGAATCGCTGCAAATTTTGCAGGCACTCAATATTTTCATAGTTTTATCCCATTAAACCGGGCTTTTTAATAATCATGAATATAAAGTGCAAAGGCTCAATTTTATTAATTATTTAAGAGTGGCACGAAATTGAAACTGTTTTGCAGGAATGGAAATGAAATTTTAGAATTGCTAAAAAAATGCCTGCTGCTTATTTGCTATCTGTCTTTTCATGTGCTATACTTGTGCTAGTTGTAACTGTTATTTCATCGTTTTGTTTCTTTTTGACATCGATGCCGCTGGGTGGTTTCCATCCAAAAATCTCCAGGAATGTTTCTCAGTTAGATCTTTTCTTTTTACTAATGGCTTTTCCCAGTACACATTGATCATTGCCTAAATACAGTTTGATAAGCCTTGTGTCTATCCGTTGCCTTTGGTGTATGACGAGGCCTAGCTCTTTTTTTCAGGCCCGCACTGCCTTGATAATATCGCTCACATCAACTGAAACGCAATATTTTGTCAAAGCTAGTCAGCAACGTGCTGGCAGCTACCATGATCTTTCCATGACTCGTTAGGTTTCCGCTAATCTCTTTTGCCTGGAAAACATAGTATTTTCGTCTCGTTTTCCTACACACTGGAACTGGTAATAGAGTAAAATCGAAAGCAGCGCATTTACAGTCGGTGCTATGTTACTATTGGAAAAACGTTTTGTGGCATAGTGAACGCTATCCATCCTTCTACTTTTCATATATTTAACTCATCAGCCAAATCCTAATTTATCTCTGTTGCATGGCCCAGGTGGTTTAAAACCACAGCCTGTTACCGC